TAATAAATATATAAATAAAATAAATAAATTAAATAAACTTAAATAAAATAAAAATACATTATAAAAATCATTAAATTTCAACAATACAAAAACATAATAACATAAAATGATTTTTATTTATTTATTTATTTATTTTTTTTTTTTAATTTTAGAATTTGTTTTATCTAAGCTCTGAATGGAAATCTGTTTAAATTATTTATGGTCTACAAGTTCTAAATATTAATAAAAAAAAAAAATAAATTATATAAGCTCAAAATGGAAATGTTTAATCTTTAATAAATACAAAATATTTAATATAAAAATAAACTGAAATTTTAAAAATTTTAAATTGTTGCGTAAAATTCGGTAGAAATTTTAGTTAGGTTCAGAAATAAAAAATAAATAAGAAATAAAATATAAAATAAATAAATAAATAAATAAATAAATAAATAATAATAATAATTCCTATTAATTATCCCAAGTATCCAGTAAACCCAAATCCTTTCTATATCCCCATCAATGTTATTTTCATCTAACAACATTTTTGCATTCCAATCTATAATTTTAAATTCAGTTACTAGAGTGCACTCATTTCGCTCAGTGTAAGTAGCAGCAGCGGAGTGAAGGGGTTTTTGCATGGGTAAGCAGGCTGGCCACAAAATCAATAATGATTACATTTGCGTTGCATATTTCACTACACTGGGGGCAAGATTTGTAGCCGCCGCCGTCGCCGCTGCTGTTGTTGTTGTTGTTGCTGCTGCTGCCCATCGTCTAAATGACATTTGCGAGCCTACGACGACGACGACGACGACGCGACCGGAAAAGGAGAAGGCGCAACGTCAATTCTTGGCCGGTCAGGTGGTTTGTTGGTTACGGTGGTGCTGGTGGTGCTGACGCTGCTGTTGGCTGGTGTGAAAAATGCAGCTAGCAAAACACACAAAAAAATACACACACACACGCACGTACACACACACAAAAGACGGAACGCGGTTAAGTGCTCAGAGGCAGCAATAATACAGCCTACGCCCACATCTAAACAGGGCGGGGGAGACTATGGGAGACAGGGAGAGGGCGAGACTGGGATCGGGAGTGGGAGGTACACCCCACTTTAGCTCTGAGCTGTGGAGAATAAGAAAGAAAAAAAATGGAAATAAACGGGTTGAGTACTTTGCGCTGTGGGGCTTCGAAGCAAAAGAAATGCAGAAAGCAAGAGGAAACTGCAATAAGTGGCGCGCAGGGTCAACAATAAAAGGGGGCGCGCGAGCGTTGGTGACGGGTGGGAGGCGCGCCTGATAAAATGGGCAGGGGAAGCGGGTGGCCAGACAAAGAGGAACGCCACTCAATGCAATTCAGCAACGTCAACGGCCTACAGACGACGGCAATGAGTAGAAAACAAAGAATAAGAATCAAATAGAGAGAAATTGTGCGAGACAGAGAAAGAGCGAGAGAGAGCGAGAGAAGGGAGGCGGGACGAGACTAAGACGAGACTAAGCCAAAGCCCATGCCCAACCAGTTAGAAATTGCAACAGCAAAAATGCAACAAAGTACAGCTACCAATCTGATAGCGAGTGCACACACGCACACAGACAGCGAAAGAGAGACACACACATGCATCGTCACTTACAGCTACCTACTCCGCCGCCTCATCCCCCCCACGCTCTCATACGCTTTATGTTCGTTTGGCAGGTTGAAATTCAACGCAGCAGAACGAGCGAAGCGACAGCGCAAAGTAAATGAGTAACAGCAGCAAAGAAGACTGACTGCACAATACCCTAGCTATGCGAAATAATAGCTGATGTGACTGTGAAACGCCTTAGACTTAAATTAAATAAGCAAAATAATTCTAGAAGCTTTTTCTATATTCTGCAAATGTATATACAAGAGAAGCATATACAGATATGCAAATTTACATATATTTTATATAATAAATTTCATGGTACAGCAAATATTCCATATTGCTTATCTCTCGTTCGCTCTCATTATTTCTTATTTAATAATAATTTCTTGCCATCATTAATTTTCGCTTTTTATAAGACGTTATTTATATCATAACTAAATAAAAATATACTCATAATTTAATGTTGAAGTTTCCTCTAGAACTTTTTATCTTATCATACTGCAATAATATGTGTTGTCCGTTTATGATGACTGTGAATTGGCAAATCTCGGACTGGTATTATTGAAATATTTTTGGGTTTCTTAGCAATACATAAATAAATAAATGCATATATAAATAAATGCAAATCCCTTGAATACTCATTAAACAAATGGTAATTTCAATACATCAAACTCATATGCCTGTTCGAACAGAGTATAAATAGCAAAGAAAATGTTCGCGCACACACACTCACACACACAGAGACATGCGAAATACCAGACAAAAAAGAAAAGCAGGCGACAAAGCGACGTGTGTGCATCAAAAATAAAAAAGTACAAAATAGGCACAGTGCGAACGAAGGAATGCAAAAGAGAGCAAAAGCAGCAGCAGCAGCAGCAGCAGTGCAGCCGCAGCGCAGCAGTAGCAAAACGCAAAGTAGAAAATGCAACATAAAGCGAACACGTCAAAGCAATTGCAAAAAGGAAGAAGAAGAAGCACAAGCAGAAGCCAGAGCACACCAGCAGCAAATCGGGCGGTAAATGGGCGGAACAGGCAGCTGTATATCATGTACGCAAAACAAATAACTGATAAAAGCCTATACAAAAACGAAGAAAATACACTTGTATGCGTGTATGTGTGTGTGTGTGTGTTTGCGAGCTTAAAATTCATTGGAAAAAAGTTATTAATTGTGGCTTGGATAGAAAATAAAATAATACTGTTTAAATAAATATATATATGTATGTACATACATACATATGTATGAAACTAGAATGCGAGCTAAATAAGTAAATTATCTAAACATAAAACAATAAATAAATAAAATAAATTAATTAAAAACAATAAAAATAAATTTCTATCTTAATTTTAAACAAAAATAATAAATCACTTACATACATATAAAAAAAACAGTATAGGTAAATTATTTATCTTGAATAATAATTCATATTGAAAATAAACACAATCAACCAAATTGAATATACAAGTATGTATGTATTTTCCAATTCCAAGTAAATCATCATACAACTACAGTTATAAATCCCAGCTAAAGCTTTCATCACAACTAGTTTTGTTTTCTGTCTGTTATTCTGTTTGGTCAGTAATTTCTGGTACTCAACAATACAATGTTCTTAAAATAAATCGAATTGGATTCTCAGAGATTTCTGGTTTGCCTTCCAGAGTCAATATGTGCATAAAGATAAGTGTGTTCGTTTGCATGTGTGCATGTGTGTGTTTTTGTTGTTACCAGCTCAAGTTTGGTGAGCGTGCCAAGTGTAAATGATTTGTATATGACTAGGCATCAGAATCAGCAGCAGCAGCAACAGCAACAAAAAATCTAAACAACAAAGCAAACGCCTGAGCTTGAGCTTTGTGCAAAGCCCCGAACCAAGTCAACGGAATATGAAAGGTGGAATGAAAGAAAGACAGAGCGCGAGAGAGTGAGTGAGTGAGCGGGCTTGAGAGTCGAGACGGGTGTAAATTCAAATTCAAATCTGTCTCTTTTCAAGTGCAGCGAAGCGACGACGACGACGACGGCGACTGCGACAACGACAGCGACAGCGACGGCTGCGTCGCCTTAAAAGTAATCACAATTGAATTTTATAGGCGACGGCGAAGATGCAGCAACAACGACAGCAGCCCATAGAAAAGTTTCTGCAGTTTGTTGTCTGGTAGGCTGATAAGAATAAAGCCCTGACGCGTTACCAAGCGTAAATGATTAAGGCTGAAAAAAGGGTTGCCAAAAAAATGAATTCTAAAAAAATAAAAAATTAAATCGTTCGCATTGCTGCCCACGCCAATTAGAAAATGTACATAAATCCCAACTGGTAAACCTACCAGTGTTGTACAATGTAAAAACAGGCGACTCGCACACACACATACGCACACAACGGCTACAGAATATTTGAGAGCGAAGAGCGGAGAGCGGCTTGCGCAAGAGAGCAAGCAGCAAACTCAAAGGCGCGCGTAAACGGCGACTGTTCCAAGAATGCAAGGCACAAAAGGAGACAAATAACAACAAAAAGAAGAAAACAAAGAGCGCTAAGGCAAAGCAAAACGTGAGAAGCAAATAATAATGCGACGCCGCCGCCGCCGCCGCCATACAAAAATCAATTTCAAGCGGCGTGGGGACGAATATGTTAAATGCGAATGTGATATGTGTGTGTGAGTGAACGTGTATATGGATGCTGTCTTTGGTTTTGCACTCAAAAAAAGGAGCAGCGCAAAGAGTGTAACGAATTTCTTATTCCCTTTCAAATTGATGTTTATGAATTTAACACAGGCACATGGCAACATTTTATATTTTTATAAGATAAATTTCTTATATAATATGAAATTAGTATGCGAATTTATTTTGAGCGTCATAACTTGTATATTCCGAACATATAGAAATAACAATGCAAATTATTTAAGACCTGTTTTTCCAGATCTGAGTCTGAATGAAATACATTTTAGGTATGGAAATATTTTTATTTTTGCTACATATGCACTGATCAATTCGTAATTGAATATATTTTCGCATGCGTTACCAAAGATATGTACAATTCATATGCTCATCTCCAGTGAGCGCATAAAAACTGTATACACCACAAACGCACTCACATAGAAACACACACACACACATACACATTGAAACAGGCACGCAACACGCGACGGCTTTGCCGGCTGCCCACAAAGATGAGAGCGAATGGAAGGTACAGAGAAAGAACGCTTAATTATGCTTAATTTGTTGTTAATCAAACTGACAAACAATAAACTTATTAAACAGTTGTAAAGTCGCTTATATAGTTTTCTTTCAAGTTTTTTGCACAACACTTGCAGATAGCGAAATAAACGATGAGAGAGCAAAACGAAAGACAACAAAATCTGCTTCAAAAAATTTTTGTTCAGCAGTCAAATTCAGTGTAAAACAAAAAATTGCGCTCACGTTTTTTCTCAATTATAGCTGTAGTTGATGTTGAGTGTTGTTGTAGCTGTTGTTTCTTTTATTATTGTTGCTTTTGTTGTATTTTATGTATGTTTTGTGTGTTTTTGCCGCTTCTTTCAATTGCTGTTTTTTTTTTGTACACTGCTCTCTTCTCTGCTTTTCGGCTTCACGTTTCAGACTTTGTATTGCAATTAGCAATTTGCAATTTTAGACGCGACGCGCTTATATTTGGTTTTATTTTTGTTTTTTGTTGGTTTTTATTTGAAAATTTGTTGCTTGTATTTTTTCCTTGTTACAGTGTAATGCACGACGCGCGGCGACAATAGGCTATGCACAATACAATTTCCTTATTTGCTGAAATTTTTCACTGACCAACAAATCGAAACGTTGCGACGCGTTGCGAGCTGAACGAACCGTACACCACCATTAAATTTTTATAAATGACTCAGTTTCGCGCTCAGTTTTTCTTATAAGAACAAACAAGCTAAACGGGCTGCCACATTGCGCTCTCCGTCTCTCTCTCACGCTCTCTTTCGCTCTGTTAGGAGCAGTGCTGCCAACTTTTTACCAGAATAAAAAGCTGTTTTTAGATGGAAGAAACGGAAAAAAA